CCCCCCAGAGCTGGGCTCTAGGTAGCAGCCACTGCCCTGATGGAAAAACATCAAGGACTTCATGTCTGGTCCAGAAGAGAGCAGAGTGCCTCACCTCCACCACACCCAGGGCCTGAGCCAGGAACTTCAGGCTGCATCTCTCAGGCCAAGCCTAAGCTTCTGACCTGCTTGCCCCACTTCCTACCCCCCAAGCTTTCCCACTCACCCTCTCCGTGGGCATCTCTGGATAGGGGCAGGGCTCCATCGCCAGCCTCTGGCAAAAGAGCTCAACAACAGAGCAGGCCTCTGCATACAGCTTCTGGCTGTAGAAGCCATAGGCCAACTTGAACACACATGATGCTGCCATAGAGAAGAACAGGGTTGTCAGCAGCTGCCTTGCATGGTCACCCCTCCCTTATCCCATCCCTGGTGGGGGCCAGGCCTTCACCATCTTAGTTCTACTTGTCTCAGCAATAGAGAACCCATTTGCCCCACCTCTGTGCAGAAGAGACACAGAAGCAGCAGATGGGATCTACAGCTTGGAAGAGCTGGTGCCAGCTATGATGAAGACACTATGGGGGATACACCTTGAAGTGTGTTGATAAGGGAAGCCCGGAAAGGCTTGCTGGGGGTTGAATGACACTGGCATGGGATTGAATGGCTACTGGCACTGGGTGGAGGGGAGCACTGGCTGCAGGTATGGCCAGTGCCAGTAGCCTCCTCACATGCGGGAGAGGAGTCCAGGCAGGCAAGCTTCCTCCCACACCCCTGGGCTGGAGACACCTGTGGGGGTGCAGGGCCCAGAAGAGAGCAGGCAGACACAGAGTAAAGGTTTTTTGGCCCCACCAAAATCTCTGGTTGACTTTGCACTGTTCCATGGTGGCACCCTGCTGCAGGGAGGAGCTGCCACCTCTAGAGCTGGAGGCAGAAAAGGGCATTCCCCTCACTTAAGGGCCACAGTCCCACCCCTCTTCCCCAAGGCCCCTCTCAAAAATCCCCTTGTCCTCTGGCCTGCAAGAGGCAAGGCATAGATGCTGCTTGCTCCTATGGAGAGCAATACTAGTCCCATCCCACCTGGGGGCATTTGTGAGGATCTCATCTTGCTGTCTGCTCTCTGGACCCTGTTACTGGCCAGAAAACAGGAATGGGAAGAGCTGGAGGGACTATGAGAGGTCAGGCAGCATGTAGTTGGATGTGAGAAAAGCCACACGAATGAGACCAGCAATGGCAGGACTGACCCGTCACATCGAGGTACTCTGCCTGCTCCGGCTCAGGGAGCCCCTCGAACAGCTGTAGCATCCACGTGATGACGTCTCGGCATGGCCCCGCCAGCTTCTCCAGGCCAGCTGCCTGCGGGAGGCACAATGAATACACTGAGCAGACAGAGTTGAGGCAAACGGGGTTACAGTGACCCTCAAGCCCCCAGCCCACTGTGGAGCACATAGCTCCATTCCCAGGACTCCATGGCTGATCCAGAAACAGGACCTGATCTGCCTGGTACCCAAGCTGGCTCCCTGGGTCTGGGTGTGTGAACCCAGGAGCAGTGTATGCCTGGGCTGGCTGACAAGCACCATGACCCATCCAGCCAGAATCCTGGGTCTTCAGGGCTGCCCAGGATTCCCACGGCTCTGGATTAGCAACAGAGATGACTGGTTCCCAGGACTCCCTCTCCCACCAGTACCTGGGAGCCCTGGAAGGCATCGTATGCCAGGCCGGCATAGAGCTGGAGGCAGTGGGACTGCAGTTGTTTCACAGTCTGCTGCTGCTTCGGGCTGTCAGGAGGCATCTGCCGAGGGAACAGGAACATGCCAAGTACCATCACAGCCAAGGCCAGACCAGGGGCTGGCAGCTACAGAAGCCATGCCAAAGGGACGTCCTGTCTGATCTACAGCACAGGGGTGATAGGTGGGTTACAGGGACCCCCCCCTCTCCCCAACTTGTGCTGCCTTCTTTTTCACCCCTGCCCTTATCAGCAGAACCCTGGATCCAGCAGAGATGCCTCCACTCCCCCTGCCACAGGTAATGCCCCTGCTATCAGCAGCACGTTCCCTCGTGCAGTGCCCACATGCTGCTGAGCCAGCCCAGCAGGGGGCAAGGCCCAGCTGGATGCCAGGAGATGCTCTTGCACCCCAAAACCTCAGTCATTCCCAGACACTGCCCCCAGCCCAGCCAGCAGAGTCCTGTTGCCTTGGGCCAGGTTCTACCCCAGAGGCTGCACTCACACTCTCCAGCAACCGCCACAGGAGCTGAGAATAGCCCTTCACAAAGGCTGAGGCGCCCAGGGCATCTTCCACCCCAAAGGGCCTATGCTCGCTCCTCCTCACGTATCCGCTGAGGGAGGAGACCATGAACTGGCAACTTTCCACTAGTGCCCGGAGAAAGGGGTCCTGGGCTTCAGAGGCAGCATCCAGAGCCATGGCAGCCTGGGACAGAAGGGGCCCTGTCTGGCCCTGACCCACTGCCAGCACCCGGCTCAGCTCTATTCCAATACGCAGCAGGTCCAGTGCAGCACCAAATCCCTCCTTGGCACCCCTGGATACACTCAAGTGGACCCGAGCTTGCTTCAGGGCATCCTCGGCTTCTTGGAAGCAGCTGCCCCTGCAGAGGCGACGGCAGCGCTCCAGCATGAGCTCCAACAGGCACAGGGAGGACTGGAGGGGCCAGGGCTCCATCCCACCCCTGGCCTCCAGCAGGACTGCGAGTGGGTGGCAAGCAAGCTGCTTGCTGAGGTAGCGGGCATCCTCTGGGCTCAGCGGGGCCCTCTGAGCCTCAAACATTAGAGCGGCCGCCGCAGCCTGGCGTGCCGTCTGGGAGGTGAAGAAGGGCGGCTCCTGGGGCAGCAAGGGGGACTCGGCCTCTTCCAAGAGTGCCAGGAAACACGTGGCCTGCAGACGCCCTGAGAGCACCGCCCTGGCATCCCCAAGACCCTGGTCAGACTTGGCAAGGGCGTCTGCCACCTTCCACAGCACGCTAAAGCTGCTCTTGGCAATGGCCTCAAAGTCTTCATTGGGTACTGCCAGACGCTGGCACTGCCCAAGCTGGGTGCGAAGGATCCCTGCGAACCTCAGGCAGGCACTGTAGGTGCCCGAGGCAGCCACGCTCTTCAGCAGGTGGTAGAGGATCTTCTCAAGATAGAGGGGAGCACGCGGGGGGCAAGCCACGATGTAGCCCTGGCACGCCAGCTCCGCTAAGTCCAGGAGGCTTTGGAAGCGCGCCACGCAGCCCTG